TGGAAATGGTGGGTGAGTCTCCCAGCGAGGTCTGCTGCATTCACAAGGTCTCGAACTCGAGAACTTGCTTAAGCTGGAACAAGCCGCTTACCACTTGATACAACCCATATATGTGTGTTTATGTATATATATAAATGCACAATCTGATTTTTGTGCTCAAATTTTGGATAGAAGAAAAATAAAGATAAATAAATAAATAAATAAGATTTCTTATGGGATTTATGGCCAGCAACAATAGAAAGGTTTAAATGTTTAGCTATATTGAGAATAAAATTGAGATGTCCAGTTATATGGTTATTAATTCTAGAATATTTTGGTTAGGTTCTTGATTATTTTGTCACCCTAGCACTTGGAGTGAATTTTCTGTGTTATGCGATTGAGATAAGTAAATTGTGGTAATGCCCTTTGATTTCAAAGTAAAAGCATATTTTACATTATTTTTGAGATGGTGGCAAAGTTTTTAAATTGATTTTATTAACACTTGAGCATGATTAGAATGGAAATAAAAATTTTTATTATTTTTGGGGTTGAGCATGCCCACATGGAATTTTTCGATTTATTCTTGAAATTTGAGATTGATTGTGAATTATAGATTTTCCTGTAAATCCTGCATGGTTTTGTCTCTAATATAGTCATGATTACTAATTACTGACGCCCGCTAATGGGAGTTGTAAACACTAGCACATGTCGACATGTACACCGATAGGACTGGTTTATTCTGTAATCTTGCCAATGGGATAATACATTGGTTATTATTGAAACTGACGCCTGCCAGTGGAAGTTGTTAAGCACTGGCCATGACTTATAGATGAGACTACTATCGAATCTTCTTCTGCATTAACGGTTTATCATTGAACGCTTTGTTATTGACTTATAGATGAGACTACTACTGAATCTTATTCTGCATTAACGATTTATCATTGAATGTTTAATTATGTTAAATTGTTTATCAGGCATGCTTAAAGTTTACTCATGGGCTACTCATATTTTAACTTACTGAGATATCTTATCTCATAGTTTTCCTTATCCACCATTTTAGGGAGTGAGATCGAAGGCACGGTTAACCAGGGGAGTGACGAGCTAAAAGGCTAGTCAGTATTTTGGACTTGGATCCTTTTTGGGCTTGGGCTGTTAACCACACATGCTTAGTTATAGCCATGATTGTCTTATAAACTTTTGTACATCTAGACTAGTAAAGTTTTGGTAATTGAAAGCTTGATATTAACCGAGTTTTTAGATTTAAGTTATGTAATTGGTAATTATAAACATAGTAAGTTTCGAACCTTATGCATTTGTGGGACTCGTTCACGAGTGTACAGCGTCTGTTTCGTTCTTGGTTTTGGGGCGTGACAATAAAAAAATTGCATAAAAATAACATAAAAGAATATAAACATTGTTACTATAGTTATACTTTTTAAGATTTTATAGAAATAAAATGAAATTAGAAACACATTAAAAATAGCATTACAAGTTACCTCACAATATATACTCAAGCTTAATAACCTGCAAAAAGAAAAAAAAAATGTTATTAGATCAAATAAAAAAATTAGATAATACAAAGACAAAAAAAAAAAAAAAAAAAAAAAAAAAGCACCAAGAATTAGAAAGGTATAGGGAATTAAAGGGAGAAGGTGAAATAATATGAAAACAAGAATTAAAGGAAGACACCAATAACTATAATGGTAAAATTTAGGGAGAATGGAAGATGAAGAAAGTTAAAAAGGGGAAAGACAATGAAAGAATTAAAAAGGTAAAAGGACAGAGAGAAGATGGAGCAAGGTAGAACAGAGAAATGGGGGTGCATGTCTACAAAATGGGGAAGAAGGACAAGAAATGTAGAAGAAGATGAAATTAGAAGATGTTTAAAGGTTCTATTTTTGCCACTATGTATATATAGTGAAAGTATAATCAACAACATTTATGTTAGCTGTACTTAAAATATCTGTCAATTATATTTTGAATCAATTACACAACAAAATGTTATTTCTTTAGTTGAGTTAGGCAAAATATGTATATAATTGATAGCCATTGTTGGTTGTCGGTTATGTTAATATGGATTATAATTAAATAATTGACAACCAATAATGACTATCAGTTATGTCAAAATTTTATATATTAATATATATTAAAGCATAAATTTAGTAATAAAAATTTAATACTAGAAAAGTTAGTATTATGTATATTAATTTTTTAATTAATTTATTAACTCTTAACACTATACATTTATAGTTAGTTTAGTCATTATATTACTGACGACCACGCTTAAAATTAAAAACGTTAAGTTAAGTGTGAAAGATATAAAAAAATAGAGTCGTCATTCGTCTAAATTATAAGGTGGGATAAGTTACCTTAAAACGGGACTGCACAGAAATTGGAGTTCAAGGGTTCAGTTAGAAGTGAGGAACAATATGTGCGCACCTCACAATCATTCATTTATACACACAATTGCATATTTTAAAATTGAGATTTTAATTCAACTTATTCATTATATTTATATTTAAGTCTTAATAAGCAAACTTAAAAAAGGATAAACTAAATTGAAACTTTTTTTTTTTTTTTGAATTTTTGGACTAGAATGGACAAAATCAAAGATATGCATGCATCATAAGCACAAATAAAAATAAAAGGGACTAATTTGATTAAATTCAAAACATGAAAGACTGATTTGATTAAGTTGAAAACATGGAGGACTGATTTGAAAAGAGTTGAGACCCATGGACTAAATTGCTTAATTATAAAAGTTTTTGGTGAAATTGAAATGAAAAAAAGATAATTTTGACTTTCAGCAAAATTAAAGTTACTCAAGAATTAAATTAATAATCAAGGTAATTAGTTTAATTAAATAATTAATTTAATATTAATTAAAATTAATTAAAATTAATTAATCATATTTACTAATAATTAATTAAGATAATTAAATAAACTTAATTACCTCAAATCAACTTCAATAAATATGATTAATTTATTTTAATTAAAATTAATTGACCTCATTAATCATAAATTAATCTCGAAGATTAATTGATAAAAATTTTTTTATACATATATTTTTTTACTTTTTACCTTTGTTAGTTTTTTTTTTTTTTTTATTGGATCAGGTTGCATTCACCCGGCCTAAAAACACAATCCATCAAACAGATGAACACAAAACAGATCAAACCTTAAACAAAAATCAAAATCCAAACGACATAAAGAGAAATTTAAGGTTCGCCATCAATTACATCTCATTCCCAGCAAGCAACACATTTATCCAGTATGCAAGAACGTATCAAATGTTGAATAGAAAAGGGATTCTGGAGAAAAACGAAATGGGAAGTTAGGGTTGCTATTCAGCCATTCAACCAAAACAAACAAAAAGAAAAAAAAAAAAAAAAAACATTCGAATTCAGATCCATGAAATTCAAGATCCATGAAATTAAAAAGAAAATGCTTGATTTCATTCACAATGTCATCCTCAAATACACATTTGGCACATCAAACATAACGAAACTAAAACAA